ATAACATTACAAACTCAGTATTCCATTACCTGTCTTGTACTTTTTTTATCATACCTGGTGACGGAATGAACGACCAGGTGGTAAGCGACACGACCGTCCATAACAGTTGAAGTGCCGCTGAGACTTTAAATTGCAAAGATCTGAGGGGCACTGCCACTGCGCCTGTCACCCTGAGACGTAAGTTGGCAAGTTCCATGTGCCCTTACCTTTAAATACCGAAGCGCAGTAATGCTCACATTACTGCTTGGCGGCAGAAATAGGTAAAGTAACAGTACTTCCATGGACGAACCCTTTCACAAGGATCTCCTCGTGTAGAATTCTAATGCTATTATATTGTCTAATGACGTCTTATAATTAAAGAATTGAAATGTTATTGCTATGTTAATTAGTTAAGACAGCACACAATGCAGTGCTTTTATTCTCTTATGAATTCTTAGATGGAACGTTAGATATACCTACTCGTACGAGTACGCCATATTTTTCATCAATTCATCGTCAAATCAATTAATTGGACCATATTATGCTTACGGTTATATGGTGTGATCAATGAGGACGCTAAATTGCGCGAGTTGCGCACGTGCAGCGATCTTCCTCGTCGCCCCGTACTTAATCATAAATCATCGTAAACAAAACGAACGGCGAATACGAGTCATATTATAAAAAAATAAACATATGCCACAAAACCAGTGTTACTCGCGTAACTTAAGAATTCATATTTCATATAACACAGATAATGTTAAACATTAAAAAAGCTAGCAAGTGCTAATGTAATGATGTTATAAATTAAGTTCATACTTTCAAGTATCTACCGCTGAGAATGGCGCTTTGTTTAGTCGATCTCATACTGCGATTACATTGAAAAGACAAAAGACATCAACGAGCGCTATGCGTGGTGGCGGTGGCGCGGGCGGCGCGGGCGGCGCGGGCGGCACGGCCGGGGCGAGGCCGCGACGTCGTCGGCGATGCTAGCATAGCGGTGCGAGTGCATCTTGCAAGTTCCATTTTGGCAACAAACATAATTTAACGTGTGAACGTGCCGAAATAAAACAACGCAATTAACCCGAGAAGAAAGCGAAAACGATAATAAATTGTGTAAATGATAATAAATGTGCGACCATTATTTGCTTTTATTTAGTACTCGTATGTATATATGCAACGTATGGCAGACGATGAAGTGACTTGGATAGACAGGGGGATGCTTCGATGGTTTGGTCATATAGAAAGAATGAATGTTGGTAGATTGATGGCACAAGTTCATAGAGCGAATGTGGATGGAGACATAGGGAGAGTTAGACCTTGGCGTACATATCTCAATCAGATTGGGGATGTCCTTAAAAAAGGTCGGGTTAAAAGCACCAAGAATAAACGGGCATGTATGAAGAGACTGATGAATGCATGTGTGTATTATTTGGAACTCAAATATTTTCTTAATATTTTTAAATAATTTTATTATACTGAAGAGTTGATAAAATGCTATTGCATATAGTATATCACAACCCTGTCATAGGCCTAATTAATATATGGTATATACTAATTTGTATTATACCATAACATAAGATATAAGATCTAACACAAGGTTGTGTAAGAAAACATTTTGTTAAAGACGTTTGCGTTTTTCATATGGAATTCTATAGAGATGAAGCGGATATACGGTAACTATCCGGTATCCGGCCTATTTTTACTCTCCGGCCGGATACCGGACACTTAAAAATGAGAAAAATTCGTAATCAGTGTGCCAAATAAATTGATTTATTGGTTAAACATAATGGTAATAGGATAAACAGCAACTGCAACAGGATCGTTGACAATATGTTTATTACTTGAAACTGAAAGAACTATGAAGTTAGACAACGTTATCTGTAAATGTATTACTCAAATTATCGTACGTTATCTGTAAATGTATTATTATTATTATTATTCTGCATTAAATGGTAAAAGTTGGTTCTATTTGTTTTAATAAACGAGACCGCCGTCAGTGGACAGTTTTTCACTATAAATTCTTGTAAACTTTGTTGAATTTTAAGTATCTTAATCTTTGATTTTATTGCCAGACGATTAAATCAAAGGATCGCAACCACGATCGATTTGAAGTGTCTTCAAATACATTATATACCTACAATAATGAAACGTGTAATGGATTAAACATTATTTTTTTGGCAAATCTGGTATAATATAATAATAATAATAATAATCATAAATTTATTCAATTTAAACATACAGCTCTTAAACTAGATGACTACAATAAGGTACAATTCGATTGTATGGGCAGACAAAAGTTGAACCATCATAACCTATTCTAGGTACAAAACCTGTGTTAATAGTGTTACGAAGATTCTCCGTTTTGGCAAAATCAGAAAAGAAAACAATCTTTGAACTGCGGCTAAAACTGAAATAGAGTATTGCAGTGATGTGAATCTAGTGTAGAGTAGCAATAGCAGTAATAAAAAGTAAGTAGAAAGTATGTGTAAGTATGTGTGTGTGTGTGTGAATGTGCGAGTGTCTAAGTGTGTGTGTGTGAAAGTGTGTGTGTGTGTGTGTGTGTGTGTGTGTGTGTGTGTGTGTGTGTG